CACACACACACACACACACACACATTATCCATCTATCTTTCTGTCTAGATCTATATACATCTAAAACTAAATTGATTCAAGGCCCGTATTCAACAAGTTAATATCCTGTTCTTCATGCGTCTGTAGAGTTCGTTCCCCTTCTATCTTCCCCCTTTGGCCTGTCATTAATGAGGCATCTGTTGAGGACATTTTAGGACAGTCGGGTCAGCGATGTAACCAGACACCGTCCTGTTTGGAGAAATTAGTGACAGCTCTGGTTGAAGAGCGTTGCAAAAAATCCATCAACAACGGGCGATCAGACGCATTAGAAGTATCGAACGCCCTTAAATTGCGTGTTCTGGTGTCGAAGGTTGGCAGACATTTCATTGATCGTTCCCGTCCATCGGTTGTTCTTACCTCCCCTTTATTAAACACAGGAGGTGACGACCAGAGTTTTATATTTGTTGTCAACAGTGTGTTTCAATGTTTCGTCCCCCTTCATGAATGAGCTGACGCTCGACTAGGTACAAATAGACCATTTTTAAAAGTACGCTTCCCCCGCCCCAACGTTTCCCCTCATATCCTCGGAAAAGAAAACTGCAGTCTCTAAAATGGCCAATGAGGTTGATCGGGAACGCATTTAACTCCAGCTATCAATAAATAATCACAGTTTCATTAAGTACTGAGATCGTTTTTTAAAAAAACCCAGAACATATTATGTGTCGAGTTCCTTGTTAAAATTTGAGTAAAGTTAAAAGTCCTTACTATACAAGAAAAAAAACTTAGGTCAACGGATCACCATAAAGAGAAATTGAGAAGAATGGAAGTGTAAGAACAGAGGAAAGGAGACAGTGTTTCAAATCAGTAACCCATCCGTCCAGAAGAATTGAAGGGTTGTGAAATTAACGGGGCTATCCAAGAGTATTCATGTTTCATTAGAAATAACATTGATAATGGAAAAAATACGTCTATCCATATATAGATTAAGATAGGAATTCGTTAGCCTTAGTGTTGAAGAGGATATTGATATTTAGACAAAATTTTTCGAGACCTTCCAACACTATGTTGCCGAACAATATTCATCCTGCCCCATAATAATTCATGTTCACGTGTGTGGACATTTCGTTGCATATGTCCAAGTTCATCACCCTCTGAGACACATTCAGATAGTTTTGAAGATGCAGTCCTCCATGCACGCCAGAGTATCAAATTGAGGGGAGGAAAAAAATAATTACTGAAATAACACATAATAATTCTCGCTTCGCTTAGATTAGAATCTCCAAACTTCAACTGGTTAACTCAAGATCGGCATGCAAACGAAGCCGCACCTGTTGACAGACACAAGTTTGAGCACTTTAAAACACAGATCTCTAATAAAATAAATTGTCTTTATTTTTTCTTGTTCATAGAATATTCCC